GTAAATAATTGTGTCATCGGCATAGAGATGAATATTGCTTTCTGAGCAGCTAAGAGGCAAATCATTAATAAAAATGGAAAAAAGCAAAGGTCCAAGTGCGGATCCTTGCGGTACACCTTTATTAACACCTGTGAAACTCGACTGACTGCCCCTAAAGGACACACATTGACGACGTTGATGGAAATAAGAGTTAAACCAAAGCAGAGATGAGCGTGAAAGGCCAATTGAGTGGAGTTTATCAAGAAGCAGGTAATGATCAACCAAATCAAATGCTTTTGTAAGATCTAAGAAGATGGCGCCAGTGCACATACTATTGTCAAAACCAGAAAATATATCGTTTGTAAATTTCAGAAGAGCAGTGGTAGTTGAGAAATTTTTCCTGAAGCCTGATTGGCACTGAGACAATAAATTATTTTGGGAAAGATAGTTAGATATTTGAACAAAAATGATTTTCTCAAATATTTTGACAGTACTATTAATGATTGAAATAGGTCTATAGTTATTCATGTTTTGGGTGTCACCTCCTTTATGCAATGGAATAACTTTTGTACATTTCCATGCCAGAGGAACCTCACAAGTTAAAAATGAAAGATTAAAAAGTTCAGCCAATGGCGAAGCTAGTACATGTGAGCTGAGTTTAATAAACTTAGCCTCAATGCCATCAGGCCCAGGTCCGCTGCTCGAGGATAGCGTGCTAATGGCCTGCTGGACATCAGCTGCACTAACCTGTTTGAAGGTGAAAAGACGTTCACAGGATGGAGTGGTTAGAGTCCGGTCTGAGTGAGAAGGTGATGACTGAACCTGCGGTGTTTGGGAGAAGTGCAAACTAAAAGCATCAGAAATCATGGCTGGATCATTAGTAATTTCATTATTGACTGTCATGTTACTCGTGATACTGTTGGATTTACCAAGTAGTGTGTTCATTTTTTTCCAAAATTGTTTAGGGTTCTTAGTATCTCTTGATAAGCTATTTCTGTAGTAGTTGGCCTTAGCATTTCTTGTTTGAGTAGTGCACATGTTGCGTAGATGTTTGTATTCCTCCCAATCACTCAAGAGTTTTGTATGTTTGTGTTTTTTCCAAGCCCTATCCCTCTGTTTGAACTGACTGATTAGCTCCCCGTTTACCCATGGAAGGTGATGGCCTTTAACCTTAATTGTTGTCCATGGGGCATGATTATCAATAATTTGGGCAAATTCATTATAAAAGAAATTCCAGGCAGCCTCCACATCAGGAATTAGGCCAATTCTGTTCCAATTAATCCTTCTCACATCCTCTACAAATACATCACAATTAAATGTTTTCATATCACGAATCCTGATATATTTAGGAGGAAGATGGGGAGTTGAGATTTTCCATATGCAATATATAATAGAGTGGTCGCTAAAACAATCAGAGAGAACACCAGATTTAAATATTCTATTGGGGTGTGTGACTAGTATCCAATCAAGAAGAGATTTGCAGCTAGGACTAACTCTTGTTGGCTCTTTAATAATTTGTGTGAGATTTGAACTATTGAAAAGGTTACATTCCGTAAGAGCACAAGGATCAGCCCAATCTAAATTAAAGTCCCCCAATATCATAATTTCTGATGAGTCCCCAAGTGATGAAACAGTAGCTAAAATGTTTCTAACAGACTCTAGCTTGGGAGATAAGGGAGGGCGATAAATATTGCCAATTATTAAATGTTTATTTGCATGTAGAAAAATCTTAACAAAAAGACCTTCGAAAAGCTCCGGTTTTACAATGGGAGTAATTAACTGAGATTTAAGGTTTGAGTTAATGTAAGTGGCCACTCCGCCTCCTCTGGATGCTCTATCTAACCTGTATATTGTGTAGTTATCCAGATTGACACTTGAGTCTGTTATACTTTCATTTAGCCAGGTTTCAGATAATGTTATTATATTAGGATTATTATAAGCAAGCCATGCTCTTAGTTGATCAATTTTAGGAAGCAAACTGCGAATATTCAGATGAATTACATGAAGACCTTTACCCATAAGTTATGGTATGAAAGTGACAGTTAAGGTAGAAACAACTGGACATGGCAGATTTATAATAATGATAGCGACTGGGGTAAGGTGAACGTGAGAGCAAACCAACATACAGACAAAACTCTTGCATACCCATACACCCACACAGACACACACACACACATACACACACTCACTCAAATCAAATCTTATCTTAAAACAAAAAATCAACAAATCAAATAACTGACTTGTGCTCACTCTCCTGAAAGTAAAACGACTGAGCTTAATCAAACATACTATTTTATTACATTTTACTAGATAAATAAGAAGATTCTCAGGTATGATGGAGCTCAGTGTTAAAGTCAATCAAAACACGAAAATATAACCAACTAAAAATTGGCAAGCCTCCAGGCTGTTGTAGACAGTTAATTTAACAGAAAAAACTAACCAGGTCGAACCATGGATCATTTATAGTAACGGTCATACCTGCGAGTGTCTCATGAACGCTATGACGTCAGGCGCTGAACAGCGTGTCATGCCGTGCATGCGGAAATAAACAAAACAAGCATGACAGGACGGCCGTATAACAGTAGTAGTGATGAAAGTCAGTCAAGGCTCATCTTCAGCATTGCGTGAATCAAATGAGTCAATGAACTTGGATGCCTCACTTGGATCAGAGAAGATGTTTTGGTCGGATCCGCGTGTCAACTTTATGGTGGCAGGATATAACAGAAAAGCTTGAAAACCCACGGCGCGGGCCCTGTTCAGTATAGCAAAGCACGGACGTCTACGCCGGGCGGTGGCATCGCTATAGTCAGCAGTGAAGCGAACAGCTTGGCCATGTACCAACACCGGGGACTTCCTTGCACATGCCAAAATCCGATCTCTGTCCGTGAAGCGAAGGCAGTTCAGGATCAGGGTCCGGGGAGGCGCAGGAGCTTTGCGCGGAGAGCCAACTCGATGCGCTCGCATGAGCTCCGGGGGGCTACTGGCCAAATCAGGAAACCATCTGGGAAGGCTGCGCATCAGGTAAGTCAAGGCCTGATCTTCTTCTGCTCCTTCTTTCAAATTAATGATACGGAGATTGTTCCTTCTGCTCTGGTCTTCCATTGAGACTACTTTTTGCTGAAGATTCTCCAAGGTGGCATTTTGTTCGGAAGTAGCTTCCTCTACTTTCTTCATCCGTGTTTGTAAAGAGGTTGTGATTTTTCGCTGGGAATCCAACTCTTTAGAATGTTGATCGAGAGTAGTTTTGATTGAGTCCAGCTGATTTTCCAGACGTTCAAAGCGAGCTTTGGCATTTTGGTCTGCCTCTGCAAAGAACTTGTGCAGAGTTTCTTCCAAAGACGCCATGGTCAGACCCTCACTCGAGGTAGTATCAGCGTTTGCTGCTTGCAAATTCTCTGGCTCTTTTGGGCTTCCCTTCTTCCCACGCATGATCAAAAGAATAATAGCAGCAAAAGATCATATAGTGGGTTCCACGCCTGGAGTTCTTAGTTTTATGTATTGTCAGTGTTTTGTCAATTTAAGCAAGGAGAGCCGTGAGCGACAGTGCCTCTACTCTGCCATTTTTTTCCGACATGGTATTGGTCCACAAGGAGAGACCACAGGGTATTGGACCATAGGGAGGGACCACATGGTATTGGTCCATAAGGAGAGACCACATGGTATCGGACCATAGAGAGACCACATGGTATTGGACCATAGGGAGAGACCACATGGTATTGGTCCATAGAGAGAGACCACAGGGAATTGGTCCATAGAGACCACATGGTATTGGACCATAAGGAGAGACCACATGGTATTGGTCCATAAGGAGAGACCACATGGTATTAGACCATAGAGAGAGACCACATGGTATTGGTCCATAGGGAGATACCACATGGTATTGGTCCATAGAGAGAGACCACATGGTATTGGTCCATAGAGAGAGACCACATGGTATTGGACCATAGAGAGAGACCACATGGCTTGGTCCATAAGGAGAGACCACATGGTATTGGTCCATAGAGAGAGACCACATGGTATTGGTCCATAGAGAGAGACCACATGGTATTGGTCCATAGGGAGAGACCACATGGTATTGGACCATAGGGAGATACCACATGGTATTGGTCCATAGAGAGAGACCACATGGTATTGGTCCATAGAGAGAGACCACATGGTATTGGTCCATAGGGAGAGACCACATGGCATTGGTCCATAAGGAGAGACCACATGGTATTGGTCCATAGAGAGAGACCACATGGTATTGGTCCATAGAGAGAGACCACATGGTATTGGTCCATAGAGAGAGACCACATGGTATTGGTCCATAGGGAGAGACCACATGGTATTTGTCCATAGAGAGAGACCACATGGTATTGGACCATAGGGAGAGACCACATGGAATTGGACCATAGAGAGAGACCACATGGTATTTGTCCATAGAGAGAGACCACATGGTATTGGACCATAGGGAGAGACCACATGGAATTGGACCATAGGGAGAGACCACATGGAATTGGTCCGTAGAGAGAGACCACATGGTATTGGACAATAGGGAGAGACCACATGGTATTGGACCATAGAGAGAGACCACATGGTATTGGCCCGTAGAGAGAGACCACATGGTATTGGACCATAGGGAGAGACCACATGGTATTGGACCATAGGGAGAGACCACATGGTATTGGTCCGTAGAGAGAGACCACATGGTATTGGACCATAGAGAGAGACCACATGGTAATAGACCACAAAGAGGTCGTCAGCTCAGAATTTCCAAACCCGTCTCGCTGCAGACTGGTCATAGTTTTGCTTCTGATTCGTGTCAGTCCAGTTTTCAGGAGAGACCAGGTTTTCAGGTGGAGCCGGGTCTGGTCTGTCTCCAAAGAGGACCGAGGACTTTCAGCCGCCTCCTCCTCCTTGGTCCTAAGTGTATAAATGTGTTTCTCCTTCTCCCAAAGCCACAGCGACTCCACACATCTCCAGAGGTAAGTCTACATTATATTTAACCTTTGACAAACTCCTCACACGTTCATGTGCCTCAGATGGCTGCTGCCCTCCTCGCTCTGCTCTTGGCCTCTGTCTCGCTGGGGACTGGACTAGTTGTAAGTAATAATAATAATAATAATAATAATAATAATAATACATCTTTATTTGTATAGCACTTTTAAAAAGCAAAGTTTACAAAGCGCTGCACAGTCAGCATTATAAACAATAAAACAGTCATGATACAAAGTCAACATAATTGAATACAACGGATACAGGAAGAAAAAGCAGAACAAACACAAGAAGAGAGACACAGAAAACAAAAGCCGTTGGATTAAAGTGGGTTGAAAGAAGTGATTTAAAAGAAGAGATGATGGAGCCTTATGTCCTCGGGCAGGTGGTTCCAAAGCCGAGGACCTCGGACAGAGAAGGCTCGGTCACCTTAAGTCCGGAGCCTCGACCTGGGAACAGTCCACAGAGACCTGCCCGAGGGTCTGAGGCTGCGGGGGAAGGGCTCGTTCATAAATATAGCCGGGTGCCAGACCTAAACGAGCTTTAAAAGTAATCAGTAAAAACCTAAAAAATCCATTCTGAAGCACACAGGGAGCCAGTGGAGGGACACGAACACAGGGGTGATGTGCTCCCTTCTGTTCAAACCAGTGAGACGTTTTGGACACGGACGTATTTATATTAAAACATCTTTTCTCTTCTCAGATTAAACCAATAGGAGGAGACCAAGGTCAGTGACGTGAATTAATGATGATAATAATAATAATGCATTTCCGGAGTGGGAGTCAATGGACAAGTCTTGTGGTGGACTCGAACCCACAACCTTCTCTACCAACTGAGCCAGAGTATTAATGAATGATGAAAGTGTCCTCTGTGTCTCAGGCTGTGAGAAGGGCTGGACTCCGTTTGATTCTCGTTGTTATAAGTTCTTCAACCGGAAGTCCTCCTGGATGGATGCAGAGGTGAGCGGGCATAGAACCTATGATTTCATAAAACACAGACTTTTATTAGCCACTTTTCATGGGTTCAACCTCAACGAGTCTGTTTCCTCCACTTCCTGCTCATTCTTAATGTCTCCTATGTCCTAGTCTCCTATGTCCTAGTCTCCTATGTCCTTGTCTCCTATGTCCTAATCTCCTATGTCCTAGTCTCCTATGTCCTTGTCCCTTGTGTCCACAGAGAAGCTGTCTCCGGGTCAGAGCAAACCTGGTCTCCGTCCACAGTCTTGAAGAGAACACGTTCATCGGGGACTTGATCTTTAAGGCCACAGGGTCCGACACTGGGACCTGGCTCGGTGGGACTGACGCCGTCGTGGTAAATGCAACAAATATAAAAGTCTGCGCCGTCCACACTTCAGGCTGGGATCGAAACATGTGAACCTCTAATAATGGTCACATGAACGGTTTTAATTTAATACAAAAAGACACTCAGATGAATTAAATATAAAACAAATCTGTATAGAAAGGATGGTCAATTATGTTGTTCCAGACCATAGACTGTAGCTATATGGACCGACCAGCTAGCTCCCTTAGCTAGCTCACTTAGCTTGTTCACGTAGCTTACTTACTAGCTCAAAGAAGCCCAGTATATACTCTCTGCCTCTCGTTCAATGTAAAAGTAAACTTGATTTTGGCCTTATTTAATCCATAATCTCCGCAGTCTTTTGTTTTTATTGTGATATTGTTTTTGTAAATCCAGGTATTGGCCATAAAAAAAACTCTTGCCATAGCAACCGTCAAATGGCCATATAAGGAAATTGGCTCCACTACGGCGACGTCGGCTCTCGCTTAATCCTTTCCTGATATATCCTTAGCTCTGGGAATGTTGCAGATCGGGTCAAATACGGAGAACACTGTGGGCGGCACGGTGGCTGAGTGGTTAGCACTCTCGGTTCTTGGCAAGAGGGTTCTGGGTTCTGCGTAGATTTCCTCCTGGTGCTCCAGTTTCCCCTACCACTAAAAACGTACAATAGGTCTGAGTTATGCCTCCTGTCCTGGCGACCCACTCTGTGTGCTTTGTTACTCTGTTCCGTGAAAGTTGCTCTATAATTAAGTAATGTTTATTTATATAGCGCATTTCACAGACCGAGGTCACTCAAAGCGCTTTACAATTGTCAGAGTCAGATATTATTCCAAACATTCCACAAACGGTGAGGACGGAAGTGAGACGAGAACACACTGGTCCATCAAAGCCTCCATTCAACACCATTCACTCGCTCAGTGGTAGGGGACACCGGAGCACCTGGAGAAAACCGGAGCAGACACGGGGAACATGTAAATACTACACAGTAAGGTCCTGTTCTGACTGGGATTCGAACCCAGGACCTTCTTGCTGAGAAGCGAGACTGCTAACCACTCAGCCACTGTACTTACTTATTTCACTAGAGGGAATAAAGCGTGCTGCAGCCTTAAATTAAAACAAATATCTCTATGATCCTCAGAATAACAGGTGGATGTGGAGCGACGGGACGCCCTGGGACTTTGAGCAGTGGTTTACGGATGAGCCCAACAACCGGGACGGCCGGGAGGAGGCCCTCATGATCAACATGGAGGAAGGTACGAGACCTAAACCCGGTCTACACCTGGTCTACACCCGGTCTGCACCCAGTCTACACCCGGTCTTCACCCAGTCCGGTCTCACCCCTGGTGTCTACAAACAGTCTACACATTTGTGGTGTTTTAGATCCCTGACCCTAATTGACGCATCTATTTTGTCTTTAGAACTTATAACAAATAAACGTGACAGAGTTATGGATTATTCAAAGGCCGAAACACTCAAAACTCTACGTCCTCTACACTCTACAAAATCATGTTTGTGGAAAGGGAATAATGTTTTTAGCGGAACACCAGAAAAAGCTTCTTAGCAACCGTTGCCATGACCAAACTCAAGGCTTGCATTCAGGCGGAGAAGAGCAAAGTATACCTCATGATTATAAAAAATGATACACATTTAGCAACTAAAAGGAACAGGGTTAGCGTAGAACAGTCGTTCGTGTGTTACTATGACAACGCCTGAACCGATCGCGGTGTAAATGAACCTAATGCGTTTCTTTTCTGTGACATGTTTCAGCCATGGAAACGTGGAACGATTACCCACAATCCAATCTTCTCCCCTTCGTCTGTGCCAGAGACTCTGCTTTGCCCTGTTTTCATGAATCTGGATGACACCACCTACCACTGCACCCCCGACATGTGACCCCCGGGTCCTAGCGTCTGCATCTGTCACCAAGCTAACAGCATTGTTGTAACTGTGTGTGGTTAATAAACACGTTTCTCAGCTTTAACTTGCCTTGAGTGGACTTGTGTATTAGAAAGATACTTTAGATAGATAAATTGATAGCTCCTCCTGGTCCTCACTGATCCTACAGCTCCTCCTGGTCCTCACTGATCCTACAGCTCCTCAGGTGCTGAGTCCACAGGAGCTTTCAGCAGGAGCTTCAGGCAAAGTGGGGTTAACACTAGGACCGTCGTGCTCTAAACATACCTTGCACCGCCCCCTGCGGTCAGTTGACCGCTATGTATTTTGCGCTGATACAGCCTTTTGCCAAATTGATTGTTCACTAAACCAGAACTTGATGTTGCAAAGGAATCGTGATCATAATGAAACTGTGTAAATTATTTGTCTAAATATGCTAAGTAATTGTAATTCTAGCCGAAATAAAAGACTAAGACGACACATTGTGCGTGTACTGATCCATCAAAATTACGATGACTTTTCAGGCTAGATTTATTTTGTAACTTTGCAAACACCTAAAAGGTTGGTCACTATATGTTATATTTGACTCAGTAACAATATGTAAATTCAAACAATATAAATTATAGTTTAGAAAAGCACGGGACCATAACGTCTTCGCGCTGCTATATGCGTCTACTTCTTACGTCATCTCCAGACTGTTTTCTCTTTAGAGGCCAAAATCACCGTGGGAAATATTATCTAGATAATAATAATAGTATTCGTATTGACACAAGATCATCAGCTAGGCTACCATCGTCAATGTAAAATCTTCAATTTTACACGGGACACGTTAGAAAGACAAATATATGTATATATATATATTTGTATTTATTTGAGACAAGCAGTGCTCTTTATGCTCAGAACAAAATTATAATCATTGCCTTGCAGTGCGCGCTGTACAGAATAACACACAGTGTTATCTGGATGAAATAAGAATTATATTCTTATTGATATATGAGGGCCGCCTCTGCCCCACAGTCGCTCTCTGCAGTGTCCGCGGGTGACGAGCACTCTGATCTGCACTCTGCCTTGATAGTTCATCTAATTGTTCTATTTTATTGCGATATTGTATTCTGCTGTATTGCCTTCTTGTATGTATAAATATAATAATGTAATTGATGATGAATGAAAAGGCAGAATGGAGCGACAGCGCGCACACAGACACCTGCGTATGGCTGGCATTACGCACGCTCATGTGCGTTATTGCTTCTGGACTTACAACACTGCTGTCCGTGCCGTGAATGCACTATGGGTTTACGTTCAGATTTAGAATATTATAGGTGTTCTCCCCGCTGTCACTTTCTACCTCAAAATGTGACATCTCTCACCTCCGTCAGACTGTTCTCATTCAATGTCTTGAAGCACTGTCAGGGCTTCATACCGTGCAGCTCTATTCATTTTGTACTCCTCTCTCTCTCCCAAATAATAATAAAAAAGTCCCTTTAGAGTCTAATGACAACATATTGATACATTTTTATAAGGCGCGAAAAACCCCCGGGAAAGGTTACTATGACAACAGTCGCCCCTGCGCCATGTATCTCCATGGGGCAGCATAAAGGGCTGTGGTTTAGAAAAGTTAAAATGCGTGTAAATCTTGTTTTCTTTACTTTTTCCAAAACCAAAACACACCAAAATATAAACAACAAGTACCTAGTAAAAGTCATAAAATTTCAACTTCTGGCGTTTTGTTTTGAATACACTAATTAGCAAATTAAAGTGAGTGACGGTCAGTTGACCGCTAGGGGCGCTCCTAGTGTTAAGTGTCTTGCCCAAGGACGCAACGACAGCAGACATCAGTGGGAGTCGTGAAGTAGGTCTTGAGGTGGGCTCGAACCCATGACCTTCAGACCCAGAGGCCAATGCTGATAAGAGCAAACAATAAATAAAATACAATAAATTCAGTTACAGTTTGATGTGTCCGGCCAATGAGATTGAACATTCTGATCATTATTTTAGTCAGAACTTCTGATGAGACATAGACTGTATGTATTAACGGACGTAGTCATGCACATATCCGCCGTTCAGCTGCACGAGCTCCATTCATTTAAACGAGAGACTTCTAAAGTCCACAGCGACTAAACTAGACTGGTCCAGAACACCCCCCTCAGCATTGACACACATGTGGAACGGAGCTTTGGGCCAAGAGCTGACTTTTGGTCCATCCTGTAAAGACGTTTTTGACCGGTCTGAAGATACGTACATTTGCATTGAATATTTCCCTTTCCGGGTCCACCCCCCACAGGCCCGGGGTGGTATTGCAGCATGTCAGCGCACCTCCTTTTGGACACTTTTGAGCCGGGACCCGCCCCCACTGTATGAGACACATGAAGCTTTTCGCGGAAGTTCACTGTGGTAGACCCGGCCGCTGCTGCCAGATCTACAAGCCTTCTCATCCTCAACTCATTACACCAGCAAAACGCCCACATCCAATGCACCAATAACCACCAGGACAGCAAGTTAAAAGCCGGAGACGCCCACTTTCCGGCCTTCCGAAGCCAGCAAAGCTTCTGAAGTTGCAAGTGTTGTCAGCGTACTATACCTGTCTACCATGCGTCCTTCACCCCGTGCTCGTGCGTCCCCGTCTGCTTCGGGCTCTTCGCCTGGCTGTCTGAACGACCTGTTCGTTCCCCCCTCGCCTGTGCCCGACCGGTCCCGGAAGAGCGCGCGCCTGGCGGCCCAGGATGCTGGATCCGTCCTCACCTTCCTCACGGCCCGTGGCGTCGTGCCAGGTCCGGATGCTACCCCGCTGCAGCTCCAGCGCCTCGTGGAGCAGCTGTCAGCGGATTCCGCCTCCCCCCCCCCAGCTCCGGACTCCCCTCCTCGCAAGCGCCGTCGTAAGGCCAACCACCTGCCGCCGACGCGTGCCTGCCCCCCTTCCCCTGCTCTCGACGGGCCCCTGCTTCCCCCAGCGCCTCGTCCCATCGACGTCTCCCGGGCCGCCCCCGCGGTTCCCGGCGTGCCCCCTCCCCTGCCGGATCCTCTCGCTGCAGCCTTCGCGGCCCATGTGGCAGCTGCGGCTCAGGACCGGGAATTGATGTGCGCGCGCACGGACGCCATCCTATCGGCCGTGGCATCTATCCAGAGGTCGGTGGCCGCAGTGTCCGGCCGGCTCCGCGTCGTGGAAACCCGACCTCCCATCCCCGCCGTGGCTCCGGTGGCCGTTCCCGCCGCTGCGCCTCCCGGCGACTCCCTGGCCGTCGATTTCACCCTCTCCACGGCCGTGGCGGCTACGGCGTCCGGTAGGCCCTTTATCAACGCATACTCAAATGTTTCCCCGCGCCTGCGGTCGAAAATACTGCTGGGACGCTACATTAATCTAGTCTCCCTCATCCTCCCCTCCCCCGAGTGTTACAGGCAGGTGGCGGCCTCCTCCCTGGTCACTGCGGTCGTAAAGACTGCTGATCCCCGCCTCTCTCGGGATCTATCCATCGGGGAGTTTCTCGTGGCCTTCGGCGTGTACCGGGACGTCCTGTGCTCCGTGTACCCCGAGCGCAGGCCCGAGCTGGATGCCTATCTAGGCCTAATGGGGGACCTGGCCCTCCGCTACGGCGGTTCTCATTTCTATCGTTACCATCGGGCCTTTGCCGCCAAGGCCGCGGCCCTCGTATCCCAGGCTAACGTCAGAGTGGACTGGGCGGTCCTGGATACGGAGGTTTTGCTGCTGTCCGTTGGAAGTGCCCCCGCGGTCTCCTGCTCCCGGTGCGGCGCGACCGGCCACAGCTCTCCCCTCTGCCCCTCCGTCCCGTTCGACGTCGCCGCTGGTCAGTCTCCTAGGCCCCGCGCGCCTTAATTTCCCAAAACGGAGGTACATGATCAGACCAGTGTGTGCCGGTTGTTCAACGCGGGCACGTGTACTTTTTCATCGTGCAATTATCTCCACGTTTGCAGTGTGTGCAGGGAAGCTCATCCACGTTTCGTGTGCCCCCGTCGCCCCCGCCCGGGCCGCAGTTCCGGGGGGCCTTCGTACAGGCCTTGATCTCCACCCACCTCTCAACCCCAGTCTCCGTGCCCGCGCTGGCCCGCGCGCTCGCGCCCCATCCTGACCGGGCCTTCGTTGACTTTCTCCTCACAGGCCTGGCCCGGGGCTTCCATGTCGGAGTGGCGGCTCTCCCCTCGGCGTCCTACGTGTCCCGTAACCTACAATCCGCTCTCCGCGAGCCTCTCGTGGTCACGCAGCTCCTCGCGCGGGAGGTGCACAAGGGCTACATCATCGGCCCCTTTTCCAGGCCCCCATTTTTCCCGTTTCGCTCCAGCCCGCTGGGGGTTGCCACACGCAAGTATTCCGGGAAGAAGCGCCTTATATTTGATTTGTCCCACCCCCGCTCCGGGCCCGTTCCGAGCATTAACAGTCTCATCCCTCTTGAGCCCTTCTCCTTGCAGTACGCCACCGTGGATCACGCAATCCGGCTGGTGAAGGCCTTCGGCCCTGGGGCCTGGCTGTCTAAAGCGGACATTACGGACGCTTTCAAGCTGCTGCCCATTCACCCCGACCACTGGCACCTGTTCGGAGTAAAGTGGCGTTCCGGCTTTTATTTTGCTGCGCGCCTCACGTTTGGCTGCAGGAGCAGTCCTTCCTTATTTAATAACCTTTCTGAGGCCTTGTGCTGGATTTTGTTGAACGACCTCCGTCTCCCTTCTGTCCTCCATCTCCTAGATGACTTTCTCCTCGTCGACCCCCCCGCGGACGGCTCCGGGGACTCGCTCCGTAGGCTGAAGTCGGCCTTCTCGGCCTTCGGGGTCCCCCTGTCCGAGGAGAAGACCGTGGGCCCTGCCACCGCCCTGGAGTTCCTCGGCATCCGCCTCGACACACGCGCCATGGAGGCCTCCCTCCCGCTGGAGAAGCTCCTGCGCGTGCGCGCTGTGTCACAATCTGCCCTATCCTCTCCCTCCATCACGAAACGCGAGCTGCTCTCTCTGCTCGGGCACCTCAATTATGCCATCCGCATCATTCCCCAGGGCCG